TTGAGAGCGCTAGGGCTTTTCTCTTTAGAACGACGAAGGATGAGAGGTGACTTGATAGAGGTGTACAAAATGATCAGAGGTATAGATAGAGTGGACAGCCAGAGACTTTTTCCTAGGTTGGGGGTAGCTATTACGAGGGGGCATAGTTTTAAAGTGAAAGGAGGTAGATATCGGGGAGATGTCAGAGGTAGGTTCTTTACTCAGAGAGTGGTAGGGGCATGGAATGCATTGCTGGAGAGGGTAGTGGAGTTGGTCTCATTAGGGCATTTAAGCGGCTATTAGATAGGCATATGGATGATAGTATAAGGTAGGGGTGGAGGTTAGATAGACCTTAGGATTTGGGTAAAAGTTTGGCACAGCATTGTGGGCCAAAGGGCCTGTACTGTTCTATGTTCTATCTCCCCCCCATCCTTCTAAACCCCATCGAGTACAGACCCAGAGTCCTCTTCACATGACAAACCCTTCATCCTCGAGATCATTCTTGTAAACCTCCCCTGAACCGCCTCCAATGCCAGCACATCCTTCCTTAGATACGGAGCCCAAAACTGCTCACAATATTCCAAACGGGGTCTGACTAGAGCCTTATACAGCCTCAGCAGTACATCCCCGCTCTTGTATTCTAGCCCTCTCGAAATGAATGCTAACGTTGCATTTACCTTCCTGACTGAGTTGAGCAGGCCCCCAACACAGACTTCATCCACACTGGAGGCCACTGGGAAGCTAAAGAACCAGACTCCAGGCTGAATGGTCCATTCGTCGGGCACAGGAGGCTAGGTTAGGGGGGTCTGGCACCCCTGAGGAGGTGGCCATAGAGGCAAGCACAAGCTGAGAATCAAATCGGCCGGTTCTCTTGGGGCTGGCAGGGCAGAGCTGTGGTGGATAGAGGTCAGCCTGGAAATGTGAGAGGTAATAACACATTTGGGGAGGGTTAGCAAGGAAATATTCCCATGAATGCTGGGACCCTGGAAAGTACTGAAGATCAGAGGGGCCATGGTGTGATTAGTCTCAGATCCCCCGAAGGGGACAGGACATGTAGATAAGGTGGTTATGAAGTGGAACTCATTGCTTACAATCACAGAATCCCTACAGTATGGACGCAGGCCATTCGACCCATCAATTCCACAGCATTCCACCCAGACCCATCCCTGTAATCCTGCACTTCCCATGGCTAATCCACCTAGCCTGCACATTTGGGAGACTTTAGCACGACCAATCCACCTAACTTGTGCATCCCTAGACACTATGGGGCAATTTAGCACGGCCAATCCACCCCTAACCTGCACATCCCTGGTCAGAGGGAGGAAGCCCATGCAGACACGGGGAGAACGTGCAAACTCCACACAGACAGTTGCCCGAGGGTGGAATCGAACCCGGGTCCCTGGTGTCATGAGGCGGCAGTGCTAACCACTGAGCCACCATGCTGCCCCAGAAGGCAGATGGGATACTTGCCTCTATTGGTCAAGGCACAGACTACAAGAGCAGAGCATTTATGCTGCCAGGCCACAACTGGAGTACACATTTTAGGATTTGACGTGATTTCGCTAGAAAGGGTACAGAGGAGATTTACCAGGGTCTGAGCTATGTGGAAAGATGAACTAAGCAGGGGATTGTTCACATTGGAGCAGTGAATGTTGACAGGGAACCTAATAGAAGCGAATAAGATGATGAAGGCATGGATAGGGTGGAAAGGAAGGCACTTGTTTCATTAGTACAGGACTCAACCAGGGAGCATAGATTTATCTAATATTACAGAGAGACCTTGGGTTACTGGGCTGAAGAATGACAGATGCAGTTTAATTTGGATAAAGACAAGGTTTTGCATTTTGGTAAAAAAAAAACAGAGACAGGACTTATTAATAGTAGGGCCTTGGGTAGTCTTGTAGAACAGAGAGATCTAGGGGTTCAGGTACACAATTTTTTGAAATTGGCATCAAATGTAGACAGGGTGGTTAAGAAGGCCTTTAGCATGCTTGCCTTCATTGCTAAGAGTATAGGAGTTGGGAACATCATGTTGAGGTTGTACAGGACATTGGTGAAGTCTCTTCTGGAGTAGTGTGTGCAGTTCTGGTCTCACTGTTATAGGAAGGATATTATTAAACTGGAGAGGGTTCTGAAGAGATTTTCCAGAATGTTGCTGGGAATGGAGAGTTTGAGGTATAAGGAGAGGCTGGATAAGCTGGGACTTTTTTCACTGAAGTGCAGGAGGGTGAGGGGTGACCTTATAGAGTTTATTAAATCATGAGGAGTACAGATAAGGTGAATGGAAGGTGTCTTTTCCCTAGGGTGGGGGATTTCAAGACTAGGGGGCACATTTTTACAGACTGGAGAAAGATTTATAAGGGACGTGAGGGGCAACATTTTTCTTTTTTTTTTTACACAGAGGGTGGTTCATGTGTGGAATGAACTTACAGAGGAATTGGTGGATGTGGGTACAGTTACAACAATTTAAAAGGCATAAATAGGAAAGGTTTGGAGAGATATGGGCCAGAAGCACGCAGGTGGGACTAGTTTAGTTCGGGATTATGGACGGCATGGACTGGTTGGGCCGAAGAGTCTGTTTCCATGCTATACGACTCTATGACTATGGCTAAAAGGAGAGATGAAGGGTTTTTTTCCCCACTCAGAAAGTGGTGGGTGTCTGGAACTCCAGCTGAAAGGGTGGCTGAGTCAGAAACCCTTGTAATGTTTAACTCCACAAACATGTTCTACGTTAAATGTGCACAGATCCATCAAGCTGGGAGGTAAACGAGACTGCACGTGTTAGAGAGTGTGGTGTAGCAGGGTGTGGGAGGCTGGCAGGGGCAAGCGGGAAGGAGAGCGAGAGGGCATCACAGGGAGAGTGAGCAACAACTTGATCAGATTTGGTAGATGGAGTTTAATCCTCCTAAGTGCGACGCGATGCACTGTAGAAGAACTTTGGTTACTTAGTGGTTAGCACTGCTGCCTCACAGCACCAGGGACCCGGGTTTGATTCCACCCTCGGGTGACTATCTGTGTGGGAGTTTGTACATTCTCCCTGTGTCTGCGTGGGTTTCCTCCCACAGTCCAAAGATGTGACGATTAGGGTGGACTGGCCGTGCTAAGTTGTCCAATAGTAGTCAGAGGTGTGTAGGTTAGGTGCATTAGCCTGGGAACTGCAGGGGAGGTGGGGGCAGGGTTCGAGTGGGATGCTCTTCGGAGGGTCGGGGCTGACTTGTTGGGATTTTATGAAGGAGGAACAAGACAAGAGAGTATTCGATGAATGGCAGGACACCACAGAGTGCAGAGGGATTGTGTCCCTACATCCCTGAAGGTGACAGTGATTAGTAAGGAGGATCAAGGGTAACGGGGAGAAGGCAGGAGAATGGAATTGAGCAACATATCAGCCGTGATCCAACAGCAAAGCAGACTCAATGGGCCAAAAGACCTTATTCTGCTCCTCTATCTCATGATCTTACGGAACAGGCTAATGACATAGTTAGGAAGGCAGAGGGGACGCTTTATCAGTTGCGGCCTAGATTCTAAGAGCAGAGAGGGTACGTTGGAGCTGGACAGGACTTTGGTTAGACCCTAGCTGGCGTACCCTATATAATTCCGGGCCCCCGTGCTGTAGGAAGGGCCTGGAGGAGGTGCAGGACGTTGCCTGGGATGGAGCACATTTCAGCGACGAGGAGAGGCTGGATAAGCTCCAGTTGTTCTCATCGGAGCAGAGAAGGTTGAGGGCGGTGCTACAGGGTGGATAGGAAGCAGCTGTTGTTCTTAGTCAAGTGGTCAATAAGAACGGAGCATCATCTTAATGTGAAAGGTAGAAGGTTTTGAGGGAACATTTTCACCCAGAGGGTGGTGGGGGTCAGGAAGGGATTGCCTGGGAGGGTAGTTGATGTGGGGAGCCTCACAATCTTTTTTGTTTTTATAAAAAGTACTTGGATGAGCACTTATAGTGTCAGAACATTCAAGGCTTGGGCCTAGTGTTGGGGAGTGGGCCTAGTGCAGGTAATAGTGTACTTTTGGTGGTACAGACTCGATGGGCCAAATGGCCTCTTGTGTGCTGTACGATTCAAACAGAAGGGCACAAGAGGGCAGAGGAGATGAGACAAGTTAGAGTGCACAGTCTGTACGGAAACAGCGGCATTGCAGGGAAGAGGGAGGGAGGGAGAGATTGTGAACAGAAACTGCAGTATTCACTGATTAAACTTGCAGACCACAATGATACAGCCAACAAAACAGGACACACCGAGATTCTCAGCGAGATGGTTTCCACCAGAAGGCTGGCGGTCGGTCCCGTTGGGAAGATAGCGCTGTCAGTGTTCCCTCCCAACAGCCCAGACAGCCTGCACTTTGTCCTTGAGCCTCTGGGGAGTACCAACCTTCAGCTTCTGAGCTCAGACAGCCAAAGAGGGACGAGGGAAGAGAGAGAAAGAGCGAGAGAAAGAGCGAGAGAAAGAGCGAGAGAAAGAGCGAGAGAAAGAGCGAGAGAAAGAGCGAGAGAGCGAGAGAGCGAGAGAAAGAGCGAGAGAGCGAGAGAAAGAGCGAAAGAGCGAGCGAAAGAGCGAGCGAAAGAGCGAAAGAGCGAGAGAGCGAGCGAAAGTGCGAAAGAGCGAGCGAAAGTGCGAGAGAAAGAGCGAAAGAGCGAGAGAAAGAGCGAAAGAGAGAGAGAAAGAGCGAGAGAGCGAGAGAAAGAGCGAAAGAGCGAGAGAAAGAGCGAAAGAGAGAGAGAAAGAGCGA